TACCCCAGGAACTCTACCTCTGTTCTCATAAACTTTGTTTTTTCTATGTTTACCCTGACGTTGGCATCTGCCAGCCTTTCGAATACTATATCGACATTTTTCATATGCTCGTCTAAATCTTTACCAAACACTATGATATCGTCAATATAAACGTAGCATATTTTCCCAATATGTTCCTTCAAGACGTCGTCTATCATGCACTGAAATATGGCCGGTGCATTCCTCAGCTCAAAAGGAAGTCTTAAAAATTCGTACTTCCCATTCATGGTTGAAAATGCTGTTTTCGGGATGTCAGCCTCTTTCATTGCTATTTGGTGGAACCCGGACGTTAGGTCGATGGTCGTGAAGTATTTGGCGTGGCCGAGGCTGGCTAATGTTGCGTTGATGTCAGGGATGGGATAGGTATCGGGTATCGTGATTGCATTTAGGCGTTTAAAGTCCACTACCATTCTGTATTGCTTTTCTCCGGACGGCTTTGGTTTTTTAGGTACCACCCAGATTGGAGAGTTGTAAGGGCTTTTGGATGGACGAATAATACCTTCGTCGAGTAGTTCGGAAATCTGTCTGTCCACCTCTTCTCTCATATTGGCCGGGTAGGGATAGCTTTTGGCGTATATAGGATCTTCTGTGGTAGTTTTTATTTCGGCCCTGACAGACGTTTTAATGTTAATTTTTGCGCTCAAAGGCTCAAAGAGATGTGAGTATTTTTTAAGTAGCGATTTCAAAGCGGGCAACACTGCCTCCGGGATCGATGCCTCAGAAAAATTAATACCCCCAACGGTTTTGTTCTTGAGTGGAATTTCAATACCCGGATCTATTTTAAGGTATGATTTTTCCTGTCTATCACAGCCCCCAATTCTTTCAGGGTATCGTCGCCTGTCAGTCCTGGTAGGGCATAAAACGTTAGTACAGTATCATTCCCCATACTGTGAAAAAATTGTCCACTAATTTTTTTGTTTATTGGAACAGGCCCTGCAACAATTTGCACTGAAAAGGGTGGATCAACCGGAGTTGAGCGGGCGGCTAGTTTGGGATTCACAAAATTTTTGTTCACCCCTGTGTCGACAAGAAACTTTAGGGTAATATTGTCTTTGGTGACGCAAGTGAGGTAGGGTATGCTGGAATACAGAGCAGCGGCCTTTATATGAAATAGGCTGGTGGCCCGTTCATCATAAAACTTACCTGCTGAGACTCTTCTTCTCCTGGCTCACTGCTACTTGCTTCCACGTTGTAGAGTCGTTGCTGTTTTGGAAGTCTTTCAATTGATGATGCTGGTCCTCTTTTAAACGCGTTGTTGCTTGCAGGTCGATTCATGTAGTTTACCTGCTTAGACTGAATGCTGCCATCGATTTCCATTTTCTCCGCAGGTTTCGGAGCCGTTGGTCTGCCTGGAGTCGAAGTGTTGGACTCTTGGTTTGACTGGAACCTATTGTATGGCACTCTGTTGTATACTTGGCCAGCGTTTCTGTTTGTCCAGTTATAACCGGTGCGGGCTCGAGGAGGTATGGCCGGCCTCTGCTGGTTTTGCAACAGGTTATTCGTAGGAACAACAACCCTATTCACTGCGTTCGTATGCACTATTGTATTTCTTAAAGTCAGGTTTTGGATGTCAAGGCAAGCTGAGTACGCCTCTGGAAGTGTTTTTGGTTTCTGGACTATTAGCATGCGTGATAATTCAGGATTCAGACCCCTAATAAACACGTCAAGGGCCCTATTCCGGTATGTTTCTATGAGGACGGAAACCGTTTCCTGCGTATAATCGTCGCATTTAATCTTGTTGACGATCAACGACAGTTGGTGGTTAACTGTCGCAAAAAATTCATCTAGTTTGGAATTTCTTTGAGCCAACTGATTTAACTGGTGTTCTAGCGTCCGTATGTCCCTCTTGTCTGCGTAGTGCAGTGATAGGACCTTTTTTTATCTCAGTCCAGTCACTCTCGAAAACATTATATGCAACTAACGCCGCATCAGCCCCTCCCCGGATCTTTTGCCTAACGTGCTGAAGGATAGCCCTATACAAAGGTTTTTCCTTGATCACTTCGTAATCGGAAAGGATGCCTTCGACATTATGTATCCATGAAATATATTGAGCTGGATTTCCCTCAAAAGTTTGCAGCTCTTTGACACAGTCGGGGAGCCTGCCGATTTCCTTGAGGTCCTGTTCGGACATTGGCGCTCGGGTGTTCGCGACTGAGCTCCCTTGTTGAGCCACACTATTTGCTCCTTCTACACTGCCCACACTATTTGCTCCTTCGACACTGCCTAGCCTACCGTCAATCCTGGTAAGGTTTTGGCCTAGGATTGCGCTGCTCGCTTCTATTCGTGCTAGTCGAGCCTCTAAACCTAACCCATTTTTTTCAATTCCAGTCAGACGCCCCTCCAATTTTCTAATTTGTTCGAGGAGAGCGTTAATTCCCCCAGTTAGTTCGTTTACTTTTGTCGTTAGTGCGTCCATTATCTCTTGTTTCAAATATTTATGCACGTTTTCTTTATACATTGAATTTTTTTATTTTTTTTTGCAAAGTTTTATACGATCAGGTACCGGGTAATGCCAGCAAGAATATTCTTTTTCGTTTTGCACGGTTAGTAGCTTTTTTTTTTTTTTTTTTTTTTTTT